CACTAGCTGCCTGCACAGAACTGGCAATCCCAAGGGAGAGACAGATACAAATACAGTTGGCTATGTTTGCTCTAAAACATCACTAGCATGGATGAAAGGCCATGAGACCCAGGAAAGGCTAGTAGGGTTGTTCTACTTGCCAAGTACCAACCACTGTAAATTCATTATCTGACTTAATAGCTAACATTTCTTAAGTGTGCCTAATCTGTAATTTTTTATAATTCCATTATGGTTATTCTGTGAATGAGGAAAATGATAGTTTCAAAATCTTGTTAAAGGTTACAAGTTAGTAAGTGAAGGTTTGGGGTTTGGGCCCTGGGCTGGAGTCTTATGCTGGCTGTGTGTGATATTGAGTCTCCAACTTTTGTGGGGTCCTGGATCCTGCAGATAACCCATGTGCCAGATGCTCAGCCAGCACTGCTCCAATGCAATCATATGACCTTTGACATGGAGGACTGGTTGTACATGGTAGATGGGAGAGGAAGATCTAGGTGAGGCTCCAAGTTCTACACTGTGGAATTCCAAGCATGACTCCAGGAATGGCCCACGGATGGTAGGGGACTTGTGGGAATGCTGCTGTTTTGAAGGAAATTGGCTGAACAAATGCTGCCCTTTGACCTCTGGCTGCATTACACTATGAAGAATGAATGACCAGAATTTGAAGGCAAAGTCCTGACTGTTCATCCTTTGGGGATGAAAAAGATACTCATTATTGCATATTTTCTGGGCTGTGTTGTAAGTTTTCCCCAAACATAGCTCTCTTCTATAAAACATAATATTTGAACAATTTGCTTTGATCATATGGAGTAGTTAGACTATACAAAATAAAAACTACATGGATTTTGGCTCAGCGGGTAAAGGCCTCTGCCACCAGGCTAGATGTCCTGATCCAGGGACCCTGTAATGAAAGGAGAGAACTGACTCCCACAGTTGTTCTCTGCCCCCGACATGTGTGTACACTTGTGTGCAGCTGCAAGTACGTAAACAAATGCACATCTAAACCTAAGCATACTCCCCCCACAATAAATTAATGTAAGAAAATACAAATTTAAGTGTACTGATTTGCTATGCTAGCTCTGACTGCAATATGTTCTTTGCAACTTTGCAACATTAGACACAGAGTCTAATATTGAGATATCAATGAACACAATATCATTAGTGCCAATCCACAGGTACAACACTCTTAGTGACACTGGATATGCTAAGCCCTTGGGCCTGGCACCGTATAACTGTTGTGGGTTTTTAAAATTATTTTATTCTATGTGTATGGGTATTTTCCCTGCCTGCATGTCTGTGCACCGTGTACATACTTAGTGCCCACAAAAACCAGAAGAGGTTGTCCAGGTTCCTGGAACTGGTGTCACAGACAGCTGTGAATTGCCAAGAAGGTCCTGGGATCAAACCAGGGTTCTCAGGGAGAGCAGTCCATGCTCTGAACAGCTGAGCCATCTCTCCAGCCCCTGGTGTTACTATTTTGGGGCTGGTTCTCTCTAAGGAGCCCTGACTGGCCTGGAACTGTCTGTGCAGATCAGGATAGACTCAGAATTGCAGCAGTCCTCCCGAGCATGCGAGTGTTGGGATTACATGCATGTATCGCCGTGCCTGGCCATCATGTGATCATTATCCCAGAAACAGTCACAGTATCCAGTCCTGTGATTTACAGGTTTGAGTTTGTATAACCAAGCCAAACGCATAATTTCACATAATTATTTTAAGACTACTTACTACTACCTATTACAATTGATTTTCCGGTCACCATGATCAACAAAACATCAATGTGGGAAGAAAACAAATCTAAGTACGAGTTAAAGAAATACAAACTTGGAGGGAGGGTAAAAAATACTTCTCTTGTCACTTCCACTGCTAACAATTCCCAGTGAGGATAATCATGGATTTTCTTCCAGGCCCCCAACAGAACTTCTTAGTAGAATATTGGCTTATTCAGGGCCTGGCAGTGAGGCTGGGACTGCAAGGCAGCTCCCGGCACTACCAGGTGCTCCAGCTCCTGGTGCCTTTCTTCAGTAACAGAACACAACATAGAGTTTTAAGCTAGCAAAGAAAGGCTGACTTAGCCCCGGGCTTTCCCCCCACAATAGCCATTATGTGGCTGTGTATAAAGGACGACTTGAGGCTCAGCCCTATCCAGCTAATGTTTATTTGCTAACTCAGCAACACTGAAAGTGTGAGCATCTAGTGGAGCTCTTACTTCTGGTGGCCTCTGGGGACTTGTTCCATCTACCTGGGCATGACTCCGATGGGAACTTGACTCCATGGCCCAACAGAAGTGCTTTGTATCTCTTCACTTAAAGGCCCTCTCTTTCCACTGTCCTTGACATTTTCTGAGATTAGCTTTATCAACAGTTTCCAGTGTTTACACTCCCCTGAGTTGTTTGTACAGCCTTTACTCTCATGGTGGTTATTTACACTCTCAAGCAGTCTTTGTACAGAACAGACTAACAAACCCACCACCAGTGCCTTTAAGTTTCTTGCCATGTGAGTCTTACAGTGATGCTCAGAGATTACTTGGGGCTGTCCCCAAATTCTTTCTACGAACCTAATGGAAAGAAAGTGAAGATACCACTTATTCTTTAACCAATGATGTGAGAGACATCACAATGGTATGCAAAACAAACTGCTGTGTATTCCATTGGTGCAATTGTAGACCATGAATTAAATTCCTAAAGGTAACATAAGATTCACCAACATATTCTTTAATAGGTATAGATGCAGTATATGTATAGCTAATGTCTTTTATATTTTAATCTTTATGTTTTGCATTTTGCTTCTTTAATCCCTGGGACCTTGCTGACCCTGAGTGGGATCCCCCATACACCACACCAGCTAGTTAATATCTGAGGTGGCAAACTGTTTACTCATGTCTTATTCACACACAGCCAGTATAACCCAGCCAGACAATCTAGAGCCCATAGCCAACCACCTCCCACGTTAGGTTATCAGAACAAAGATGGCAGGCCATAGTAACAGAAGACTGGAACAGCCCGTGTGCTGCAAGCCTGCTGACAGCCTCCCAATGAGTATACTCTATGACCGTTTCTCTGTCCACTCTGGTTCCTCCCTGATCTGCTGCTTCTTCACATAGCTGGGCTCAGATCTCACTGTAGGGATATGTGAATATAACACAGTATCTTTTCAGTGGTAGTTATATGAGCTGTAGACATCAGGTACCCAAATAATAATAAAACATTATTTCAATTGTATAGACAAGGAAACAAGGGTACATAGTAGAGCAGATAGCTAGGCCCTGTATTTTAGTCAATATTCAAAATGACTTGGATGAAACTTACTTCACCAACTATATTTAGCAAAACTACACTTTAACTTTCTTAAGGAAAAAGAAACCATGACTTCATAAAGCAATGTATCCTACCGGGTAGAAAGGTACTCACTGGGGACAGCTGTGAGGCAAGCATCCTCATTACAGTGAACCTGTTACAAAGGTTTTCAGAGACCTTGATTGAAGCACATACTAAAGCCAACAGTGAAAATAAAAGCAGGGGATAGAGGAAGAGTCCAGTTGTTAAGAGCACCTGCTGGTCTTTCAGAGGACTCAGGTTCGATTCCCAGCACCCACATGGCAGCTCCACCTGTAACTCCAGTTCCAGGAGATCTGAGACCCTCTTCTGGCCTCCATAGGCACTGCATGCATACATGGTATACAAACATACATGCAGGCAAAACAAGCATACACAAAATAAAAATAAATCTCTTTTGAAAACAATAAAATGAACTCATACTCCACTCGTCAATATAACAAAGTTACAGCTTAATCTCAAATGTTCTTACTCTCAAATGATATACCTATGATGGCTTTACCCAGGTGATTCAATATAAATAGCAAATTTCCCATGACACAGAGCTCTTCCTTAGGACTTGCTTCTCTCTGTGTGCTGAGCAGCTGACATACAGTGGGTGTTAAATGGTTACTTACTGACTAAGGAAATAAATGTTTCTGACCATCACTGACTAATAGTGATAGATCAAAGAAGTGTCTCAGCTGTGCAGTGGTAGTGCACACCTTTAATCCTAGCACTTGGGAGGCAGAGGCCAGCAAATCTCTGAGTTCGAGGCCAGCCTGGTCTACAGATCAAGTTCTGGGTCAACCAGGGCTACACAGAGAAACCCTGTCTCAAAGAACCAAACCAAAACCAAACAAAATCCAGGGAGAGGATGTCTCTAAGAAATTGACAAAATGATTTTCTTTTTCAGTGTTGTGCATTAAATCTAGCTTCCCTGGCCCAAATCATTATGTAGGAATAATGTCACCACATTATCTTGAAGGGACCAGCTTCCCTTTTGGTAGCCATAATGGCCGAACGCGTGCTTCTATGACCTTGTCCTAGAAACTAGAAAGTCAGATGCCTGCCTCATGACAAGGAACCAATCAGAAGTTAGCTGGTGGCGCTATGCTTTACGACCCTGGGTGTGCTTTACGGACAAGCGCGTAGCAACCACCATGGGAGGGCCTATGGGCCATAACAACCAGTTGACCAATCAACACAGGGCAAGCCCTCCAAGCCTGGAAGCACACCAATCGTGAGCCTGTGCGTACCCCTAGACACTCCCCTTACGCTGCCCTATAAGATCTTTCGGGAGCCCCTAGGAGCCGTCTTTTGCGAGCCATCCGCCGTGGTGGGTGGGTGAAAGACCGTGGTGGGTGGGTGAAAGACCCGAGCTAACATGGGGTTAGCTCGTTAAATTACAATAAAGCCTCGTGCAGTTTGCAGCAAGCTCTCGAATCCGCCTGGTGATTGGGGTGACCGCGAACGTGGCCTGGGACCCCGGATACTTGAGTTTTCTCGGGTCTAACAATCTCACCTCCTGGAGAGCAACTTCAAACACTTACCTGGTTGCAGTATACATTTTGATGCATCCCAGTCCTTTGCCGATCACTGTGCCCTGTCTAATTCTGCAGCTCCATCTTACCCCCCAGCTTTCCGTAGTTCTCACAGCGTATGGTGCTATGCTGCCGAGACACTTACCAAGGGCTCCAGCTCCTTGCGGTCTATGAGGTTCATCTCTGTGACAAAGTAATAGAAGTGTTTGTAGCAGGTGTTGACATGAGCCTCTGCACCCATCACAATGACCCGGTCAAAGTGGTGAATGTAGACATGGACGAAGACTCGGAAAAGACGGCACAGGATCTTCTTGCAGATCTGAAGGAAGTTCTTTGGGAAGGGAACGCCTAGAGGAACAAAAAGAAAAAGGTATGAAGCCACTAGGAAGGATCTTTTCCACCCTTACCTCCAAGAGGAGAAAAATGGTGTCTGGGGGAAGCTGTGGTGGGGAGGGGAACCTGGTACTTCTTACCAGCACAGAGAACCCAAGGGAAAAAGGATGGTAGCAGATTAAAAAGCACTGTCCCACTTCCAGGGCCAAGTGCTCCACTCCAGCCACCAGGGGCCAGAGCGGGATGGAGACACAGGGTATCAGAACTTTGGGTTTTTCAAGGTAATTTCGGAAATCGTGTAAACCCATTGTCTTTTAAAAAAGGTTAACAAGTAAGCCGGGTGTTGGTGGCGCACGCCTTTAATCCCAGCACTCGGGAGGCAGGTGGATCTCTGTGAGTTCCAGGCCAGCCTGGTCTCCAGAGCGAGTGCCAGGACAGGCTCCAAAGCTACACAGAGAAACCCTGTCTCGAAAAACCAAAAAAAAAAAAAAAGTTAACAAGTAATCTGAAGTTTTAAAAATTCTTGCTGCTGAAACAAAACACCTCTCTGCATTAGATGCATCCCACAAAGCTACCCATTTGCAAATTTTGATTGGAAGTGTTTCCCAAGGTGTTGCCTCCAAGGCGGACAATTCACAGACAGCACAGCACCACTCACTCCACTCCATCTCTTTGAGGGGCTATGCTTTCATAATGGAGAAAGGGGAGGTGGCTGGAAGAGTCCCTCAAATTTCCCAGCCACAACGTCCAGCGGGATTGAGGCATCAGGCAGCAGGATGGATGGCACTTCGTCTCTCTCTGAAAAGCTACTTACACTCTTGCTATTTACCCTGCCATGAATAGAAAGTCCATTGTAATGAACTTCAAAGATAAACAGACTGTTTGAATTCCTGCTCAGTCCCCTTCATCAGCTCTATATCAGGGCCAGTTATTTAACTTTTGGTTTCTCGATTCTATAGGAGGGGTCAGAGCAAGGCTTTCCTTACGTGGTGGGGAAGGTGTCACAATGTGTAAGGTCTTCCTATAGTGCCTAGAACATAGTGGGGGGATTACCCCATCTCTCTGGCATCTGGTCACTGTTACAAGGAACATTTCCTTGTCCAGAGAGGACAGGTATAACCACCAGCTTCCAGGTCATGGTAGAGGTTTGCCATAAGGATGCCCCAGGTCCTCGGAAGCCTGGGTTTTTGCTGTTCTTATCTCTACAGGGACCTAGGGAACTTATCTGCTGTGAGATGTTCTGTCAGAGGAATCTCCTGGTATCCTCCTCCCTCCTGGTCAAAATAGGAGAGATGGAATCTGTCTGGCAGTCAGTTGTGATGGGATCTGCCTCTCCAGGTCCCTGTATGGATACCAGCTTTTCTTGAAAGTCAAAGTCAACACATTGAACAAACCCAGAGAGAATGTGGATGCAGTATAGTGGCTGAATGGTGTGGCAACAGGTGCCATGATTCAGAGATGAGGTAAACCCAGGGCAAAGATGGGGCAGGGGCAGCTACTTGAGTTTTAGAGCTTTAAATGTTAAAATGGGGCCACTAAACCACCACTGAATGTTGAGAGAGGACCCAGAATCTTCGGAAGAGTGTCCCATACATATGACTGGACTCCCTCTAAGACAAATGAGACAAACTGCAGAAGGTTGACTATGTCATCTTTACCTGTGACATAGTTTCATTATTCCTTTCATTATTCCTATTTCACAGATGAGTAACAGAGGCTCTGAAGTATGGGTTGTAGTTTTACACAACAGTGGGGCTGGGATTTCAAATCAAATTCTAAAATCCAAAGTACAGGTTCCTTTGCAGTTTGACTTGCCTTTGGGCCTGTGTGAGAGACACCACTCAACTGTTCAGCATAATGAAGAATTTCAAGTTTATTCTTCAACAGCACAGGGGCACTAACAAGCAAATGAAGGCTGATGGAGAGAGCAGGCCATGGAGAAGAAGTTCACTGCATCAGAAGATGCCCTCCCAGGAACAGGTCAGCTAGGGTACTCAGCTGCCAGTGGGGAGAAATGCTTTTGGAAGAAGGGAGAACGTTTTAATGAAGAACAACTTTATCTAGCTTGTAGGGTAGGAAGAAAGAATTTGAAATTCCCTTTTCCTCAATCATTAACTCCATTTGTTCTTTCAGTCTAAGTTCCCAGGTAATGAAAGATAAGCTTCACTCATTGCATTCAATCAGAAAGTTATGTAGGACAATCTCCACTGCACTGGACTGCATGTCTTAGGACAGCATCCACAGTCTTCACTGCAGAGAACTGCATGTCTTAGGACAGTGTCAACCCACAGTCTCCATAGCAGCACACTGCATGTCTTAGGACAGTGTCCACAGTCTTCACTGCAGAGGACTGCATGTGTTAGGTGTTTAGACCTAAACTTTGACTAGCTTCATGATAACCCAGACACATGCATGACAATCATCCTGGACAGGTAGATAAGAATTGAGATAGAAAATGAGAAAGATGACCTGCAGATCTCTAAGTGATTTTCAGTTGAGAACTAAGTCTCCATTAAGAATATGCCTTTCCTCTGTCCTACCCAACCTATCTCACATCCTGTGACTCTCAGATTAAGGCTGGGAAAATTTAAGATTCCAAGAAGAAAATATATTCAGATGAGTGATCTACAAAGAAGTGACAGACAAAAAACCCAGGACTTTGATGCCCTTGGCTCATGTGGTGTGTCTTGGGTCTTTACAAATGGGTCAGTTCTGAAACAGAATTCGTGAATCCAAAGTACGACTAGGATGAGCTCAGATTCCAGAATGATAGGAGGGAACATGTCCAGGCAGAGGTCAGAACTCAAGGCACTCACTCACGAGGTTCCAGCAGGCCAGGAACTGGAGCAAGGGTGAGGTGAGTCTGTGGGCTGGGTGTTGGCGAGACATCCACAACCCTGGCTGCTGTTCCAGAGGTCTTAGTACTCTGTCAGAAGCCAGCAACCGACCAAAGCCCTGCTGAGTTTATGAATTGTCTAACCACAATGTTCTGATCTCCAAGCCACACTCAGTGAGAGCTAAACCTAGCACGGAATATAACCCCTCAGCAGCCTGTGCAGACTTCCCTTTGATCTCTGACTTAGTAAATCTCCGTTCTCCCAAAGAAAATTAAATACAAATTCCAGTAAATTCTGAGCTTTAACCCATCTTTCTCTTGCTTGCCTTTTCTTTTCTCTTCCCTCCCTTCCACTAGGCCCTCAAACACCCATGAATATTTCCTTTTAAGACTCTTCTAAAGAAGAACAAATTGTGGCTTGTGTGATTTGACTTTTATAGACCAGAGAAAAATACACCACACACACACACACACACACAGAGAGAGAGAGAGAGAGAAAGAGAGAGAGAGAGAGAGAGAGAAAGGGGGGGAGAGAGAGAGAGAAAGGGGGGGAGAGAGAGAGAGAAACTTCAGAGAAAACAGAAGGCTGACATAGGGTCCAAAGCTAAAGGGGCAGTTTCTGAGCTATGAGATGTTCATTCTTTCTCCTGGTGAGAAAAACCAATGCTTGGCAATGAGACTGTGGCCTGTGGTCAGTGCTGGGCTGAACCCTGGGCTCTGGAGGAACAGAGCAGAAGAACCTGTCTCTACTGACTTTGGAGAACTCTCTCCAAATACCATAAGTTCCACAAGCAACTGGCTGATTCCTCAATGCTTGTAGACAACTCATCAATGACTATTTTTCCCTCACCCTGAGCTGGGGCTATGGCATCTGCTGTCTGTCTCCTGAGGTCTTCTTGTGCAGGTCACACACCATAGTATAGCTATTAAGAATCCTGCTTTGGGACTATGTTCTCCACAAGGACAGGGGCTGTGTCAGTCCCCTTCATAGATGGCTCCTTATTGTTCATCAGGATGGGTATAAAATATCTCAGATCCTCTGTCATCACCTGACAGTGACATCAAAGCTCAGAAAGGGAAAGGACCAACTCAGGGCTTTCAGAGCTTGCAGGGCTTGAGAAGAAAGGGGTCTGAATTCAAGTGTGCAAACTCTAGAGACTTGCTTTCCACCATGCTGGAGAGCTTTACAGAGTTCTCACAGCTCCTTTTATTCCATCCAATTGGCAGGATCAAAGACACAGACTTGTTGGAAGATGAAGGTGGAATACGGTAGCCTGGCTCTTACTTCTTTAAACCTAAGTGCCAGGGCTAGGGCACTATCAATCATCCCTGTGTCAGATTCCAGCTGTGGAACCTCCATGCTGCCCACCCTGGGGCAGCCTTGCTATTATAACTTCCAGGAGGCTCAGTATCCTTAGCTGAAGAATGGTGACACTGAAATGCATGGTTGAAGCTCAGTGCATGCAGACACACAGAAGGCACGCAGTGGACAGGGCTGGATAGTCCTATTGTTACAGTCAGCTCTTCCTTGTCACAGCTGAGAGGGTGTCAAGGGAGACAAATGAAACAGGACAGGTGAAGATGCTCTTTCCCCAACGACAAAGATTTCTCTGAAAAGTCAATTTGGAAGAGCACTGATATTTGGGCACACCACATGAGCTGTCAAAGAAGCTTGTCAAGATACAGGAAACCCCAGTCTATCCTTTAGGGACCCAAATCTCATATCAGTCATAATGACCAGAACCATCCATCCCCTTTCTTCTTTAAGTCGCCAGGCATATTTGAGGGCATTTGTCCTTGGAGCCAGTAATAGGAGTCTGCATGTGAAAATCCCTCTACAAGTCATAAAAATCACTCATTCTTAATAGCTCTCGAGTAAAAACAATATCCCACACACGTGAGAAAAGAAAACAGACTTTTGGCAGCAACGCTGAGAACATACCATTTCCAGAATTCTTGCAAGACAAAATGCAGTTGGATCACAAGGATGGAAGAAACGAATGCAGATGTTTCCTAAAACTTTGCTTGCTTTACTCGCTTGTTCTTCCTACCCAGCCCCATTGCCCGGCCTCCTGAAAACTGTCCTAATCTGCGGAAGCCTCATGCTCTCCATGATGCGGAGGCACACGCAGCTGCAGGGAGCGGAGCTCTTTCAGCAGATGTTTCGTGTTATCTCGGT